CACACTTTCCATATATTTTTTAAAAAAATAAATTAAAATGACACTGGCAACAATAGTTTGTACTTTTCTACTTACCTATAAAAATTTTGCGGCGTGTTAGTAGTGTTGAGTCCATATTCTTCACAAACAGCTTCACTAGGAGGTAGCTGAACAAAGGGAATGAGGCTCTGCAACTGAAAATAAAATCCCCACCATTAACAGTTACTCCAACCAACACAAAATTAAAATCAGGTACATCAAAGCAATCAGCTTTCCAGTTATTCTTGTCCATGGTTCAAGTTTTATTCATCCACACTGAAGTTACTTAGCATATATACATAAATGTCTATTTTGTATTATCTTTTAAATTAATGTAATGGTAATTATTTAATTATAAGTTAGCACTGTTAGGCAACACAAAATTGTATCTTCCACCTGGTCTTTTGGCCACAGCATGGCTTTGAAATCACTGCATGGGCACTGTGAAGGGAGGAACTGCTTATCAGTTAAGAGCAGGTAGCTGTCAACCACTCAACATGCTCGATGGCTGTACTGTACCACCAAAGAAACGATGTTTTTAATGCTTTTACACTTCTGCATTCTTCTAGAGAAGATCAAATATTTTAAAGCTATTCTTTACAAAGCATCACAGTTCATTCCTCTAGAAGGGCTGACTGCAATTCCCATTTAAAGGTTAACCAAAGGAACTTCCCAAAAAGGAGTTGCAAAAAGCTGTTTTTTTTATCCCCTAATGAAGAACTGTTGCATTACAAAATGTTTAGGATTTTTTGTTTGTTTTTGTGGTATACAGACCGCACCCATATTGATTTTCAAAAACACAGATCAAGGTCCCTCACTTCTCAAAAACCACAGTAAGAATTTTTAAAATTGGCTTCAGAGAGATATTAACCCTGTCTCTTATACCATTTTCTTCCATTAAAAGAAGTTTCCCTTAAGCAGATTCAGAAACTTTGTGGGAACGCAGACTATGGCGTCTCTGCTTTTTCAACCTGTAGGGTGTGCTGGAACACAACACATGCTCCATCCTCTTCTGCTTTTAAGTTTCCTGCATCCTCTTCATTTAACTACATCTTTAAAATATTTCTCTTCAGCCACATTTTCTCCATTTTCAATAGTAAGCAATACCTGTTTTTGCCCAAATACTGCTCCAATGTTTTCCTTTAAGTTAGGACTTCCAGTAGTGGATACCACAGGACTTTTCTTCCCTTGGCCAATTTGGTTAGTGCAGTTAATACGAACTCCTTTTGAAACAATGCAGTATGCTTGCAATATCTGCACCATTTTTCCATATTCCTAATAAAGAAAATATAATGGTCACATTTATATAAAATAGTTGTTAAAAAAAAACTCAGAAAAGGACATTCTATATTTTTATGTAACATAAACTTATCTCCAAAAGGGGGTCATCTTTTCAAAACAGAATAAAAAAAAAAGCTAAAAAGAGTGTCTTTGTAAACAATGAACTTAAGATTAATCTTGTAAATAAGTAGCTTAGAACACAACATTCCCCAATTTACGGATGTGCAAAGGTGATCGCCATCTTAAACCTCTTCAACATTTGGAGATTTGAGACTGCACCTCTAAATCAGACTATTTGCAAAATAGAAAAGGAAAGCATATGCAAACACCGCTCTTATTTTACAAAGCTACAAAACAGACATGAAATAGCGTGACATAAACATTTTAAGAACACAATCTACAGAAAACAGTGTATCATTCAGTGGTAACAAAACAAAAAAAAAAACTCTGAAATATCAAACTCCTTTAAAACAACAGTTCCTGATCTAACCTACCTTTTTAATGTTTCTTTGAAATTCTTTATGCCGCACTGGCAAAGTATAGAATAACTGTTGTATGCTAACAGTTGTTCCTTGTTGTCGTGGATAAGGAGTTTTCTGAGTGATTTTACCATTATGATCAAATACCAAACGAGTCCCAACCTTTGCAGACTTATGACAGGTAAAAATGGTAACATCACTGATGGAGGGAAAAGAGGCAACAGAATTACACACTGAACATTTTCTCTTTGACTCCTCGTGACCTAATCAGGTATAGAAATTACACCAGCATGATGCATCTTTAAGTAAGTTTTCCACCATAAAGATACCTAAAAACATAACTGAAAAGTAGTGTAACAGTCACATTTTCCTAACTAAAACTGAAGAAATTATTTTTATATCTCATTTGTTTCCTAACTAAAACTGAAGAAATTATTTTTATATCTCTTTCATTTGTTCTCTGTCATAAAATGCAATGTTAAATTCTAGCTTTGTTTGGACACTATATTCTTCATATTAATACATTACACTAAAATATTCTTGAAACACAGAACTGAGTACAAAAGCTGTACTGTTTCACATAGACAGTTTGGGTGGCAAGATATTAAATACAGTTTCAATGAGTTAAAGACTAACAGACAGCACTTTGGTGTTACAGTGCTTTACTTTTGAGCATGGGAGCCTTTTCATGCACAAGAGTTTCATTCTATAGATACTTAAATACCTAAGTAATGCTGGAATTCATATATAAAAGGACCAATCAGATGCTTAGAATCATGGCATAATTTACACTGAGGAAGACATCAAGACATCATGCAACCTACTGCTCAAACCAGAGCTAACAAAGAAATCTGTTTCCAAAGCCGCATTTTAATCAATAATGGTAAACTTGAGATTATTTTTATTTATGTTATTATAACTTTCTACTGATAAGAAGTTCAATAATATTACCTTAATGCACACAGAGAACTTAGAGCTTCACCTCGAAACCCAAATGTTTCAACATGAATTAGATCAGAAAATTCTTGTATCTTTGATGTATAATGTTTCAGAGCTGGAAAAGGATATTTAAAATAAATGATTTTACTTCTGTCTCCAATGACACTGATTTATGCGACTAGAGTCAGTATGCATCCCAAGGAGCAAAATATTTCTGTATAACTCATTGTATTTTAAATAATCGCAAGGGACAAAGTAATTAAATATTTAGTGTTTCCTTTCCTCCTTTTTCTACAGACAAGGACTCTTAAAAAAATCTAGATAGACCTGTTATTCCTTATTTACACCAAAAAATAACAAAAGCATACAATATTATGGGTATTGGCATTGAAACCTGCCTCAGAGCAGTACACAGTAGCCGTCCCAGAAAGCAAGGTATTAATCACAGGTACTGCCACTCAAGATGACAACTGCAGCCTCCTGCTGTACCTGTTACACACTCAGGTGCAAGTTTATTCCACCACGTTCATAGTTAACGAGGACCCAGCACTGGCTCTGTGGGTGCCCCAGCAGGTTGCAGTTGCAGTGCTGGTAGCAGCACCCCAAATTTGCACTGCGCTGGGGCTACAGACCACGAGTTTCCTGCGACATACAGTGAGTCGATCATGCATCGTGACCATAAAGTTATAGACTAACGATTCTCTAATTGGGAATGTGGGTATTTTTGTTGCAATGGTGAAAGTTTCATGTCATACAGTATTGCTTCTTCCCCAAATTTCACTTTAAAGTAAGCTAATGGAAACTCTGACAGTCAAGCACACAACACCAAGTTCATTTTCAGCCAATACTCAAGTTTATGAGAAAACTTCTCAAAATCAGTTATTTTCATGGTTTTACACTTTCAATGATTAATCAACTGAAAATATGAATGAATTTGAATGATAATTTAGGATCTTCTCTAATATAGCTATGGCTATCCTTTATTCCACTTAAATACATAATAATCAAAGACTACTACTAAGTTTCAAATACTATGACCACACAAGCACTACAAAAATCAAGTCCGATTTTGTCCAAGCCATGCTGGTGCTTTTGTCATTATAAAAACATAAAGTATCTATTAAAAATAATTAAATTTAGATTTTATGAAGAAAAATATACATGAATACTTTCAGAGGAACAAACATAACTTATGAAAAAGGTCCAACTTACTCAAGCCTTGAAAGTTTGCCTCTTCCACTCCACTTCCATTATCTGAAACTTCTATCAGTTCTGCTCCATAATCTTTAAGTTTTATTTCTACAAATTGTATTAATAAAGTCTTTTAATTCTCTATGTTCATAAACAACATTCAGTATTAAGTTCATAATTCGAACAATCTCGAGGCAACTACTTACTACATCAAGTTTGTGAAACAAACAAACAAAAAAAGCCCCACACAACTTTTTTTTTCCCCAAGCTAGGACAACCTAACACAAATCAACCTGGACTTTCGGATAACTGGGCTTCACTGTATTTCTGCCTAAAAGAAAGTTTCCCAATTATAATAGCTGACATGAGGGAAGCTCTGGAAGCTAAAACCTTATGCCTTAATGGCCTGCTAGCTTGAGGCCAGTAGTGGCAGTAGCCAAGCCCCATCATCACAGATTGGCCATCATAGAGACCGCATAACCACTACACGAGCTACAAGTAAAGTAACACAGACAAAAATCATGAGCTTTTATGAGCTCACCTGGAGCCTGGGAATTTGAATGTTTTATGTACCCGAGCTGTAAAATCATAACAAACTTGCCTGACTCAAATATAGAGCACTTACAGGGATTAGTTAAAGTGTGCTCCATACTTCAAAAGCATATTTTTTTATATGTAGAGACTGTGTGTATTCAAAGCATATTAAATATATTCTGATTAATGTTCAGGGAAAACAGCTTACCAAGGTTGGTAGCTCCTGCATCCAGGCTGTTTTCTACCAACTCCTTCACAGCAGTGCCCAGATTGAGGACAACCTGCCCCGAGCAGATCTGATGAACGGACTTGCGGTCTATGGCCTTGATGGCATTTGCCGGCTCCGAACTTGGAAGAAGGCCCGAGAAGCAAAGAAAGGAGTAAGAAACAGCGGCCGCATGCCCGCTCCTCCTTCCTCTCAAGGGGCACCCAAGGGGAGGAGGGATGAAAGGGGCACCACACAGGGACCCTAGCAGCGGTGTGACCGAGGCGGTGGCCAGAGCCCCGCGGACAGGACAAGCCGGACACGGGGCAGTGGAGCGGGGCCTGGGGCTTCTCATGAGGAACGGCCCGGGGAGGAGCGGGGGAGAGGGCCGCAGGGTGGCGGTGAACCGCGGGGGTCAGTCCCTCCATCCCAATCGCAGCGAGGCAAGCCCGGCCAGGCCGAGGCCAGGGCCAGAGCCGCCGCCTCC